TGGTGGGCGAATTTTTTCTTTCTATACCGAATGGATTGAATTAATTTACAATTGAACAATAAACATTGATAAAATTTTCAGAATAATGCTTTCAGTCGCCTATCAATCATAACTTTGGCCAAATGGCTACAAGCATAAAATTTGGTAAATTTTAGAATTAGCATTTCCAATTGTTAAGCCAACTTTAACAAAGAGGATATAAAGATAACTACTGATAAATTAATATTATATAATATGTTTTAGGAACCCAGGCGAAGGCCAGAAGAAAGGTAGTTTGGGTGCGAAGCCAACCAAATTTTTTTTAAAAACCAGCCTATGGATAAATCCTTGCTACCCCATGACCCCCCTGAGATTGTAAAGACTAGTAACACCCTTGCCCAAAACGATGGCTTGCTCCGTGATGCGGCTCCGGCCATCCCTCGTGAAACCTTATGTCAAGTTGTGTCTGAAAAAATAAATATACTTCTAAACCGAGAATTGTCCTATGGATCGGCTCCGGCCATTAATTGCGAAACTCTCGTCTAAGTTATGTCTAAAAAGAAATATAACCCCAAGTCCACGGATTTCTCCGAGGTGCGACTCAGGCCGTTTCTTGTGAAACCTCCTTTATAGTTATGTATAATAAAAATAAAAATGGATTGGCTATTCTTTGCTATTTTTTGAAAACTCATGTTTTAATAATGATTATAACAAATATTTTGCATTCTATTTTATATAATAAACAAAAAGCTTCATACGGATAGATAATTGTTTTAATATACTGATAACTATTTATGTAATGGTTAAATGTCAGCTAATTCGGCTCAATCTAAAGATGCGTGCCGGAGAAAATCCGCTATCATTGAAGCGTTTTAATTTATATTTTACTTTCAATTGTAAAATGCTATACTTTTAAGGATAACCCCGAGGTCGCCAAAGTGATAGTTTTCGTCCAAAACCTTGATTTAGCTGCCTAATTAGCATAAACGGGTGAAAATATAATGACCCAACTATAACTAAGTGAACTAGAACAAAAATGGAACTAGTTGGAACCAAATCTTGTGCAATAGAAAAAGACTTAGAAGACTGTTGCGGGGGATAACTTAAAACATGCAACCTCAAGCAGAGATGATATATAAAACTTAAAATGATGAAAAATCATTATTGATAAGAAATAATTAAAATTCTTTCTTCTTTGATATAAATAGTGTTAATTTTTTTTTTATTAAACTACACTATAATTTGGTGCTAATAAAATTATATACAACATGTTGTTATAAGCGAGTATTTAAACAAATTATCTCCGACATGACAATATAATATATTGATATTAGATCTCATATCTGTTATACAAAACCAGATCGGCAATTTGAGGTGGCATAAGTCGTAAGAAAACGAGTACCTTCACGTAGGTTATATAAGCCCATTGATTAAATATTTCTCTTCTGTTAAAAAAAACGATTTAAAAAAAAATAATAGAATTGTATTTGTTAAAAAAACGGTAATTAAAATATAATAAATACTCTTAATCTAAACATTTTTTCTTGTGTATAATCAGCGTCTACATGACAGGATTTTCACTGGATGCAAACCCCCTTCAAAAACCTTTGCCTACCCCCCTAAAAAATTCCCGCCCCCTTCGGCGGCGATGTCTTTTTATCATTATTTCCACCTATTTATTTATTGATACTCTTTTCAAATAATTTATAAAGGATAACTTAAATTAATCTATCTCTACTACCAACTATCGATATTTTGTGAATACAAAGAATTTATTTTTTAGATAATAAATTTAATTAAAACCTCCATTATTTACAATGAATTAATTATTATGGCATTATGAGCTTGCTGAAATATCTAAACCTTTTAAATTATATTTGAAAGGATAGTTTATTTGGAAAACAATGTGTATGATTGTTTGCAATATATAGATTTGGTCGATGAATTGTATTATAATAATACTATAATAAAAGTATTAATTTTTACAGATAAACTTTGTCTTATTTCATCTCAAAATTTAATAGATAACCCCCCCCCCCCCCAAATGTATCCTACCCCCATTAAAGCAGCTTAACCCCTACCCCCTCAAAAAAATAGGATGCAAACTGTTCCTACCCCTCCCGCTCATGTAGACGCTGTGTATAATAAAGATATGTTTTCTATCATATTTTCTCATTTTTTCACTCTTCATTTTACCATCTATATTTAATACAGTATATTAGTTAAGTTTGCTAAATACTAAGATTGATTCATTATGATAAATATAAAAATTACTTTAAATAATATTCGAACAATGAATGGCGTAAAAAGTAACAAATACATCGGGTGTAACGGGTTAAGATATTATTGGATGAATTCGAATCTTTCGTTAAATCATAACTTAAACTACCTTTGATGGCTCTGGAGTAAAATTATAAAAATTTATATAGTTCTATTATAATAAGTATAAAATAGTGAACAAACGCGTTGTTTTATAATAAATCATGGGCCTAAATGAGGATAGGATATGAGAGGGATTTTAAAATAGGGTGGCAAAGATGCACACTGTTACTTTAAATTTTTACTGATACCCAAAAATGATAATCAACCTTCATATATGTATCCAGGACTTTGCTAATGGGTGGGGGAGGGGAAGCACTATTAGGTGAATTTTCTCCCCATAAATTTTATTGAAGATCTTTTAGATTTTAATAAAAATAATTCTGGGTTTTCACTATTTTTTTATATATTAAAATGCTTTTTTTCTAAAAATTTTTGAATTAGAGTCGTGATTTAAAAAAGTTATTAACTTTTACAAAATTTTCTTTCAAATTCTTCCTTATAAAGAATGATATGTTATATACATTTGTATGGGGGAGTAGGGTGTGTAGTAGAGATATTTTTATCTGCTTATACGAGAACAGGCAAATCTGCGAGTGGGGGTGAACCCCCCCCCCCCCCAAATTGGTTACGCGCCGATCAACTTTCATAAATTAAAAAAAATTTTATTCTACAATATGCTATGAATTTATAAAAAAATGATAATAGGGATAAAAACGAAATGTGCTGGTATATTTTAATTTTATAAATATGATATATTAATGATAATAAAAAAATGATAATATAGATGTGATACCTTTGCTTTTTTCAATAAATATATTCTTCTTCCTTTAATGACGATTTCCAGGTTTACCAATTTTTCCTCTGAATTTTCCTGTCCATTTTTGATGGTCCTGATCATCAATATTTGTAAGATTCATTTTTCTTATATCCGATCATCTTTATCCACGTCATCTTGGGCCCTAGGTCTTGATCCTCCTACTTCTATCAAGGTGCATCTCTTTACCCAATCATCTTTTGTCTTACGTTCCACATGCTTAGTCTATTTCTTCGTGTTACCATTCCAATCACTTCTATACGCATTCTTGCTCGCAATTCCTTGCTAGTCTCTCTCTCAGAGATATCCCACACATCCATCTAATCATCCTTCATCTCTGTTCTTTACAATTTGGTTTCTTGGAACGCTTTCATTGCCCATGTTTTGCCACCATAAACAAACAATTCCTAATACAGCTTACACAAACTTTTTCATTTAACTTCAGAGAGACATTTTTATTTGTTAGAATAAAAGACATTTCTCTGAAATACTTCCATGCGTGTCTGATCTTTGCAACAGCAGAATCTACACCACCATCTTCCTTTAGCATATCACCCAAATAGCAAAACTTTTCCAATATCCAGACCACCACAAATAAAGGTCATTCTTTCTAACATCAGACTTCCTTTTTTACTGCTACATCTTTTATGCACATCTGGAATATGGTACATTGGATTAAATCTCTAGCAACTCATTTCCCACACATATCACAAGGCCAATTACCGGGTTCCTCTATCTTTAGATTTTACCCACCAATCTCCACCTTTGTCTTTGCTGCATTCATTCTCAGGCCCTTTGCTTCCATATTCATTCTAATTTTATACCTCAATTCTTCCTCACTGTTTGCCATTAATACAAGGTCATCTACATATAATAGGTCCAAGGGAAGTCCTTCACGTATCACTCTAGCCACCACATTTATTACTAAGAAAAATAATAATTGACTATCACAGATCCCTGATGAAGTCCTAACTTCACTTCAAATTTCACATCTGTCCGTATCGCAGTTTGTGCTATCACATACATTGCCGCCATAACCAACCATTCTTCCACATGATTTTCTCAAGGCCCATCTAGTAACCTCGCGCGACACCCAGATAAATGCCTTATCCAAATCAACAAACGCATAATAATGTTTCTTTTTCCTTTGCAAGATACTCCTGCATTTGTCTAACCACTCAATTTTCGTTTGTTCCCTTATCCGCATCATCTCAAATACTTCATTACATGTTTGAAGAATTTTCTTCATGGCTTCCCACTTGTCATTTACCCCAGATGCTTGTGCCACCTCCACTACTCTTATCGCCAATGTCATATTGAATTGAGGTCTAGCACTCTCCTCCTTCAATTTCCAAATCTTCAACCTTGGCAATAACTTTCTTTTAGTGATCCTGGAGCCTTTAAAAATGAGATCTCCTATAATTTGTCGGGGCTGATCAATCCTCTCCCGGTATCACTTTCACATTTTTACTATTTACCAGTCACATCTCCTTACTAACAAATAATCCACAGCACTCTTAGCACTACCCGACTTAATACAAGCTTCTCTGATTCTTTACTTAATATTGTATTATAAACAATATATCCATAGCATCACCAAAATCCTCTCCCCATCCGGATTTCTCAAGCCGTAACTAAATCCTACATGTACTCCCTAATAACTCGCTCTCAAATGTCCATTCAGATCACCAGCCAGGATACTTATCTCTTCATTTGTCAAACTCGATGTCACTTCCAAAAGACTGTCCTAAAATGTATCTCCAACCTGAGGAACATATGCCGAAATAATGTTGCATAGCTTTCTATCAAAATCATCTTGATAATAATTAACTGGTTATTTAGTCTACTAACTTCAATTACTTTGTCCGCATATTTCTCTGCAACCAATACACCAATGCCAGCTTTACCATCATTACTTCCTTGCCAGAAATATTATACTTTTCACTTGTTCTGCCAATCATTCTTGCATTACCTTTCCATCTGGTCCCTTGTATGCAATGCACATCTAAATGCCTTCTATGCAGTGCATCGACACTTCTTCTGCTCTTCCCGTCATGTTCCCAGCACTCATGTCGCAAATCTTACTTTATCACAAACTGGTTTCTCCACTTATTATCAGGCCGTTTATGGGATATATTTGATTTTCACGAATCGTGGTTCCACCAGGTTTGTCATAGGCGGATGAAGAAGCCCACGAGGTACTTTGGTCTATACCTCTCTCATGCTTTGCCTTAATCATTAATTTAGGAGCGAGGTTTTTACAATCAGATGCCCTTTCTGGCATCAACCCATTTGAGTGGTGTTTACACCCCGTCGAGGAGATGGTGATCCTATTCTAGACTCAGACCACAGAGAAGCTTTTAAACCTCCATTAGCCGCCAAAAAACGTTGTCACTCCCCCGCCACGGTGAGGCTGAAGGTAGGATTTTGGGAGAGGCTTTTTTTCAATAAATATACTAATTAATATATTTGATATCGGTAATAGTAGCTGATACCCTGTTAGTAAAATGTAGTGTCATATTATTTATTTCGGCCCGAAACCACCTATGCCCTGGTAACAAAAATTATTTTGTATCTAAGCCTGACTCGTGGTGGTCCTAATTTAAAAAAAAGCTTATAGGGAAGAAATCCCAAACTTAAATATTTATTATTTTACTCTTTATTTCAAACTTATGCAATAAATTTAATTATTCTGCATTAACTCGGACAATTTAATGATGTTTATCTATTTTATTCTATTTATTACAAAATATGATATGAAATTGAATAATAAATACTTCCTACCTTCTAATTTTTTTTGAAACATTTATTATTTTTTAAATTTATTTTATAACCGTAATATTTATTAAGGCAAAAAAGGAAGAAAATATATTGATTATAATGTGCCCGCAGTATTAACGATTTACAATACTTCCGCCCATGATAGGCAGTTCGATGTAATACAGCGTTATATACTTATACAAAACAATTGTATTTGATGAGTGCTTCAGGTAAAAGCTTTATAAATATAGTGAATAGAGTGTTTGACGCTTTGTTATATATATATATATTATTTTTAAAATTTTTTATTTTTATCAAGATAACTTAATTACCTACTTATCCTATAATTCAAAAAGACTTAAATTTAAAACAAGTAAATAACTTATTTAATATTTATTTGGAATAAACAAGACTTTGAGAAAATTATATAATTAATATTATTTTTTTTGAGAGTCTGATGGCCAAATAGTAGAGGCTGATGTACAATATACAAGATTTGATAAGATCAATAATGAGTTGCAATCAATTCCTGTCTTCAAGGTATATATTAATATTCAAATTTATTAAATTAATATGGTATAGTTTCATATTCTAAATATGCTAAAATTGAGACAGTTACGATGAACCTTGATTTAGACGACTTATTCATACTTTATGTTTATATATGTCGTCATTTGTAAATATATATTGTATGCTAAAGAATAAACTATCTATCTGCTAAACATGATTTAATTCAAATAATATATTTTTTTTATAAGTAGATGAATATAAAATAAAAATATAGCTGAAAAATTGTGAAATTTATAAGTTAATATCATATTAATGTGCATAGTTTAAAAAAAATTATCATTTAATATATTTAAGCCTATACATAAAAGTTTTTATATTTCGATGAAAATGGCAACAGATTCCATTGAACCCTCTGGTAGGGTAAAATTAATAAGCTCTTAAATATAAAACAATTTTTTTTAATTTAAAATAATATTCTAAAAAAATATTGTCATGTGAAATAAATGTCAATATTACTAAGAGTATATTTAATACGGAGTTTAAATGACATGTTATACTGGTCCTGTAGGGATCGGCACCGATATTTAGCGCTTTCCACCGATCCGATCTATTTACTTTTCTTTTTTTAAATTATTTTATGTATATTTATTTTACATTAATAATATTTTCTAAATAATTTTGTATTAAACAATGCAAAAGCACAACACCCCTTAAATTTTATTTATTTATAATAACGCCAATTTTATTATTTATACTTTAAATAAAAGAATTTTTTCAAATATGGTATCTAAATTATGGAAATATTTTACAAAAGACAAAGATAATTTTGCAAAATGCGTTATCTGCGGAATTCTAATTTCATGGGGAGGAATAATGAAAAATTCATTTATACCAATATCCGTAAACTTTTTTTAATTATTGTAGAAATAAAATAAAATGCATAATTCGATTTTTTGCATAAAAAATATTTATTTCTTAATTACATTTGGTTCAAAGGGTGACGGTGAAAAATCAATATAAATATTGGATAGGGTTTGAGCCAATATCGTAAAATATCGGATCGGTGACAAATATGTGGATCGCCACAGCCCTAATAATTACAATAAAAGTTTCCACTTAAATATTTAAGATCAAACATAAAAAATTCAATAATATATTCTACATATTAATACTTATATTTAAAAAAACCTTTAAAACGATATTGCCTTGAACTACCAAATTTTGCTGTCCAGGCGGAAACGAAGGGGTGGGAAAAAGTGGGAACCTCTTCCATCAAAAATTTGCTTGTTCTTGTAAATTCATTAAGCTATAATAAAAATTTACACCCTCCCCCTCCCTAAAAATGTATTTATATCATATCATCATAAACAGGGATGTGAACCCGAACCCGGATCCTCGTATTTTGGCTGTACCCGAACTCGGACCCTTTTTGAAAGTAGATAGTCCAAGGGTTCTAGGTGGCATAAAAATTTTTAAAAAATAAAAATATTTTTTTAAAAGATAATATAAATTTTTTTAAATTTTATTAACTTCTTTTGTGTAATCATTTATTTTATCTTCGCGTTTTTCTTTCAATTTTCTTCCTGGACTTCCATTTTATTTAGAGATTTCATAAATTATTTTCTAGTGTAGGTAAATATTTTATTATGTTAATTTATTAATATGCTATATTATAGAAATATGTTGATTATTTTGAAAGTGAATTAGCAGTGCAAGTAATATTTTAATTTAAATGATAATGCACAACACGTTGGTGCTCAATTTGTATGATGCTAGAACGATTATTAAGTTTGAAAGAATTCTGTAATGATTTTATTATAGGAGAATGTGAAGCATTTTGTCGGAAGATGATTGGTGCAATAAAGGAACTTGCTAGTGTATTAGTTCCTTTAAAAATATTACAATCAGAACAATAATGTTTATTGTATTTTTATGGCATATGGATTAGATTTAGAAAATCCTTTTTATACGAAATATTAGAAAACATGAAAATTCGAGAGCAGCAATATTTGCAAAATAGTGTTGTATACGCTTCTATATATTTAGACCCTCGATATCAAGTTTTATCGAGTATTGAGCAAAAAGAAATGGCTAAAGACCATCTATGGCATACGCAAAACTCCATTATTTACAATATATTGGAGACTACGGCAATACCTACTGCTTGTAGTGATAATAATAATTATGATAGCAACATTGATGATCTTGAAATTTTACTTTTAGATAGAGAAAAAAAAATCAAATTATCAGATAAAAAGGAGGATCAAAAAATGCCTATTGTATCTTTAATAAAAAAGTTCTCAGAAGTTAAGAGAATAAATAAGGATACAAATATTTTAAAATTCTTCAATATATCCAGAACTATATATCTTATCTAGAATCTTCATGACTGTACCGGCGAAAATATAATAATTTTATTAAGATAACTATCTATTTTAGGTAAGGGTAGAACGTGAATTTTCATTTTGAAATATATTTTGTCTAATTTATGTGAAAATCTCAAGGATGATATTTTAGAAGATATTATGATTGTGCGATTGAATAAAACATTTAAAATATGAATTACATTTGTAAATTATGAATATGTATATATTGAAGTATAATAATAAATTAATGAAAAAAAATAATCTTATTTTGAGTCATTATTATGTTCCCTGAACCCGGACCCGGGTCCTTTTAAAATTTTATTCCTGTACCTGAACCCGGACCATTTATTTTTGTCGAAGGGTTCACATCCCTGATCATAAACAATCATTGAAAGAAAAATAAGTAAAGGTTAATTCTTTTTTAAAATAACGACTATGATTTAAATAAAAAACATTTTTATAAAAAGTGAAGACCCAATCCTATTTTTACAAAAATATAATATACCAAAAGTCTACAATAAGTTGACCTAAAAACCTCTAATAAAATTTATGGGGGGAAACCCATTTAATAATGCCCCCCTCCCCCCGTAGGAAAATCCTGGATACCAATATTATCGCTGGATGGGTTAAAAATTGTAAGCATTGGGCGGAAAAGTGGGGGGGGGGTAAACTTAAATATTTATCAGGCAAAGCTTATTAAAATTATTTTTTTATTTCATAATATTGCATATTATATAAGTTAAAGTAAAAATATATTAAAACAAAATAATGAGATAAACCAAATAATTTTTAAACATTGGTCAGGCGAACTAAACAAATTTTTTAATTATATTTCCAGTTTTTAAATATTTTCATAGTTAGCAGCCAATAAGTTTCTGTTAATATGCGCTTCAGGCTTAGGCTACATATCAAGCACGTGGACAGCGTTAGCGATTAGCTTAGGGCTATGCAACAAAGATATGGGTTAGTAAAATATTAATTTTATTAAAATACCAAACAAATAAATTCGGTATCTAACAGATACTTAGGTGTGCAGCCAATAAGTTTCTGTTAGTTTTTACCGAACTACGTGGTTCAGGCTAAGGTCAGATACCAAATTCATGAACAGCGTTGACGGTTAGCGTAGGGCTACGCAACAAAGATAAGGACTTGTGTTTAATTATATTAAAAAAAAGAAGTACTAATTTTATTATACATCTTACCCTCTACATCCGGTATCTAACAAAAGCTGAAAAATAATTTTATTTAAAACTGCGAAAGTATAAATTTAAAACTGAAAAAATTGATTTGAAAACTAAAAAATCAATTATTATAAAACTATGAAATTAATTATTAATAAGTGTGAATTTTAATTATTCGACTGTGCAATAGTGATATATTTTTTATAAATTATTTTTTTATTTTATAATATTACATATTTTATAAGTTTAAGTAAAATAATTAAAAAAAACGAGTTATAAGCCAACCAATAAAATAATTTTTAAAAATTATGTAGGCAAAACAAAATTTTTAAATAAATGAGGTATGGTTGAATTAAAGAACCATTTGCGGCAGGTTCATTGCATTTTAAAACTTAAGCTTATCTTTATATTTAATGCATTACTTTAAATAATTAAGTATCGGTAGCGTGTCAGTAGTAAAGCAAAAGAATACTCAGCATGCCTAAATTTAATTTGAACATGACTAAAATATTTTTATTTGAGCAAAGAGTTTTTTTTACATATCTAATATAAAAAATGGCCTATTAGCACGACTGAATGATGAGACCTAGAGACGTCAATGAAATATATTTAATGATAAA